AATCAGGGCAACGTAATGTGTGACCTGCATCCTGGCATCCTGATATTCACTATTTCCCTACTTCCATCAGGCACCGATCATGACTCCCACCACTCTTTCTGGCCAGGTGGTGGTCCAGTGTCAGAAGTGTTTTCAAGTCTGTTCTATAGGAAGCCACTATCACTTGATCAAAGTTATCACTCCAATGGAAACATATTTGCTGTCCCTGCAATCAGTCTTAGAGTTCATGGAAATTCATTTATATTTGTCATCAAAATTTCATCTTCCAGATTATCACTAAGACTTTAAAGTGTTACAAAATTCCAATGTCAGATAATAATTTTGTTTGAAATATATGTAGTGAAGAACTTGCTAGGAAAAGACAACACATTTTAGGTAATTTAATAGAGGAAGCTCAAACTGAGAAATCAATTGGAAAGGATTTGGGATAGTGAAAAGGGCATATAGGGAATGGCGCAAAAACCCTAAAGATAAGCTAGAGCCAGAATCAGCTCTTGCTTTGAGGGGTGGGGGACACATGTAAGCAACAGAGATGAAGGAGGTTCTGGAGACACCATTCAGGAAAGAGAGAGGGAGAAGCACCCTGGTTTCCTTCTTCTGCCTGTCCTTCAATCTTCCATGAGTGTCTTCCATGGGCCCAGCTAGCCTGCCAAAAAGAGTCTGGGAAATGTACTTTATAAGTGTCTGCTTTATGGGATGCAGACAGAATAAAGAAGTGTAAGAATGTCAGGGAATGGATCTGAGAACCAAGAGGCAACTGGGTGGGGAAGAGCACATGCACTCCATGTTATATTCAGTGGTCATTAGGACAAAGTGGCTTGCAAGGTATGCCTGAGCTTGCTTTCATCCACAGGCAGTGAAGTCCAGGGATACCACAAGGATATGGTTCAAGGTAGTTTCCTTTCTAAGTGTATAGGTTAGAGAGCACTCTGGCTCATTGGACAACAGTAGCCTCTGGGTCACTTGACATTTGGATCCATTGGAACAAGGGAAATTGCTTCTATTTATTAAGTACAGAATCTGGACAAGGGTCTCCTACTGGGAAAGGTAGTAAGGATTCAGTTACACCAATGTGTACCCCAAGTGAGCAGGTGTATCATAGACTATAACAAAAGGCAGTCTGGGTGAAGGAACATGATGTCAAAACCTGTCCATCTGTAAGGAAATCAATCTAATTACAGCGTATATTGCAAAATCCTAGAACAAAAAGGTTTACTTTTTTCTCACTTTTGACTGGTGCAAACATGAACTAAATCCTTGATTCTCATGTGTATCAAGAGGAATTGTTAACTCACTCTATATAATGTTAGGTTTCACTTGAAAATAAAAATTGGTTGACTCAATATGATATACAGTAAGAGCTGATGGTGGGAAGAGGATTGGGAAACATGAGGTTACTGAATTCAAGGATGGGCTCTATGTGTCAAGCCACGTCCTCCTGCAGGACTTTCTTCCCCAAATTTTCATCCAAGCATTAGAGAACCATGAGTTCATGAGGAAAACACAGAACAAGCTGAAGAAACCAGCAAGGCACAATCCAAGGCAAATTCCAACATACAGAACTAGAGTCCCAATTTTGAGGCTCTGCATTTCTGTCAGTGATAGACAAAACCCTAAAACCCAAAACCAAGCCAAATGAACAAGAAGTGGCAATGTGTAAAGACTGTGAAACTAGGCCATGTGTATTAATCACATCCTCGTCATTGGGACAAAATACTCACCACCCACACCTTGAAGGAGGAAAGGTTTATTTTCGTTCATGGTTTCAGTCCATGGTCATATGCTCATAATCATGGTCATAAGCCAGCCTCGGAGCTGGCTCTAAGGCACAAACATCATGAGTGAAAGAGCTTGCAGAGGAAAGCTGCTCAACCTCTGGTAGCCAGAAAGCAGAGATAGAGAAAGGAAGAGTGGGGATAAGAACACACTCTTCCAGGTCATGCTCCCACTGACTCACTTCCAACTAGGCTCCACCTACTTACATTCAGCTATTGAACTCATCAGTGCATGAATCCACTGATGAATACCGTACCCACATGGTCCAATTACCTTCAATGACACCATGTACCTTGAACCTCTTCTTAATGAAAGTGGTGGGTTTGTATTGGGCCAACTATATTCTCTCTTCTTGCTTAACAAAGGGTAACTAGGCATTGCTTTGCAAAAATCTCAGTGGAATGAGTATTCCTTTCTAGGCAACTAAATAAAAATGAACTTCTTAATGATGGAGGAAGTATAGTGTAAAGACTAGAGTCAGAAAAGCCTTTGATCAAAATAACTGCACTTCCAAGTAGCTATAAACTCAGGCAAGTAATACGAAGTCTGTGAAACACTGTTTCCTCTCTCTTAAGAGTACTTGTTTCAGAATTGCAGTGAACATTGAGGAATATTATAGAGTCAAAGTGCTCAGCACAGTGCCTTGGCACATATTAACCGAGGAATATGCACATTTGTGTCCATGAAGTTCTGAATGGAAAAGGACAAAAAAATATATTGGAAGGAGCCCTTCCCTTCCAATGTTTCCTCCTTCTCCTAAGTTGGCTTCTCCTGTTTCTTTCTTTCCCTGACCCTGGAATGATGTTCCTCCTCTCCCAAGGTTTCCAACTCTTTGAAGTTTACCTTCTCGGAAGCATTGAGATGCAGCATTCTACTCCTCTTGTTGCTCTCCTCTGGTGGATAAAAATCTTGCCTCATTAGCGAGAGAGACATTCTGCACCACCTTCATAGGTTAATGCCTTCATTCATGGTGAATTCATGCTCAGGGTAGGTAGATTCTCTGTCTCAAGTTGTGTGCAATAGACACTGTTGGCCCCAGTCAGATTTTATTTAGCAGACCCCATTGATGACTTGAAAATAATCATTTTGGGGGTCAAGAATTCAGGAGAGGCTTGGCAAGGTGATTGTTTTCATCCACGTGGCACTGATGGAAGCTGTTGGTGGTACGCAATTGGTGGAGGGATTAGTCTTGAGGGCCCGAAGTAGTTTCATTTGCAGTTCTGATGCCTTGACAGGGTTGTCCTACCTTGAACCTGAGTGTTTATAGGTGACCTCTCCATGGTGGAGGACCCAGCATAGTGGCCTTAGAATTCTTATCTGATGGCTCAGAGCTCCAAGAGTAGGAATTCCCAATGAGGTAGAAGCCCAAGGCTTTTTATGAGACTGAGTTGGAAGTCACATATCATTTCCATCATCATCTCTGGATCAAAAAGTCATAAACTCATCCATAATTAAGGGGACAGGCAGTACAACACGTTTTTAGATGGAGAAGTACTGACGAACATGTGGGCATGGCTTAAACATGCCACAGCCTTCATCCTCTTTAATCATCCATACTTGGGCAGGGAGTAGGACTTTGGTCATTATTTTTCAGGAGAGTGCACTGAGTCCAGGCTTTTAACATCTGATTACTGAAGAATTGAAAGGGAACCACATGTTTTGGTGGTCACCAAAATGACATCTAAAGTTACACTGTGCAGAGGAAGAAAGAGATGGAATGTCATGGCCTACCCACCTTGGGGCATTTCATAATACTCAGGCAATCGCCAACGCCTCTGCAGAATGCGAGACAGGAATGTGTTTGGGAAGGCCTTGTGCAGCATTCATCTTCGAAATCCAAAGTTTAAATTGTAGCGACTCCCATAGCATCCTGTACTTCTTTGTTTTAGTTGTCCTTACCCTGATAATGAAAGGTTCAGTGTGTAACTTTCCCTGTAAATTGCCAGGCTCTGATAAAAATAGGCTCATATCCTCTATGTGATACACAGTGTCTGGAATACAGCAGATATGTAATAAGTACATTTTACTGGAGAAGGTGGTCGAGCAAAGATGAGACTTACCACCACATAACAGTAAGTTTATAATCGGCTATGAAAAATCTGACCTTTTTCCTGATTAGGATAATTTCTATTTCTCTATATATTTTGGATAGACAGCATAACATTTAAAATCTTAACAATTCTCCACCATGTCCAGCCAGGTCACTTAGCTCATGAAGATGCAAGAGAACATGAACACACCCAACATTACTAACAGCTTTGTTTATTATTTAGTTGATTACTTCATTTTTATAATCGTACAATAATTCTCCCTTAAACAACACTGTTATACTTGAAGATGGTCACATTATATTCCTTCTTCCTTCTACAGGAGTAAAGTAGTTTTCTTCACACTTAGTTTTTCAATAGAACATTTGAATATCAAGAAGTTCAGTTAACTAAAAATAATGAACAGACCAAACTCCATGGAAAATGACTGCACATTCAGTTAAAGGTCTACAGCTATCAGGGTGGTTCAGGTACATTCCAGAGGAGAGAGCAGAGGTCTCAAAGGGACCCTGGAGTTGAGGGTGTGTCAGTGAATGAAAAGTGATTCCCTTAAAACCTATCTGGCAGCTTTAAAACTTGAGGTTTAATACTGGTTCAGGGCCATCACCCTTTCTAACCAGGATATGTCTTCCTCCAGGTAAGCACTGAGAAACTTTGGCAGGGAGTGATTGAAAGAGTCCTCCCAGGGGAAAAAACCTTCCAGTGAGTTAGACTACAGCCTACCCCATTCGTGCCAGCCTTCTTAACTTGAACGTGGTTGCCCACATGTAGTAAGGAGAACACAAGGGACATGGAAGGAGGAGACAGCGCAGCTTGGAGAAGGCAAGGGAAAAAGAGGAAGGTCACACAAAAAGGCAAAGGAAAAACTCAAAAGTCAAGTGTACAAAAGGAGGGAGATCATTTTCATCCTTGTTCACACTTTCAGTTTCTCACACTAGAGAAACTATTCGGTATTTACACACGTGTGTGTCCTATTTATTTCACCTAAGAGTATTGCCTCAGTGTGCATCCATTTAGCTACAAATGTCTCTGTAAATAAGGATTAAAATGATTAAAATTAATAATTGATAATTTGAAATATTAAAAGGTCCAAAGGTGTAGGGGTGGTGGGAGAGGAAGGGGAAAGGAAAGAAGGGAAAGGAAAGCTTATGAGAAAAGACAAAAATGGAAACGAAATCAATGTAAATAGGGAAGGGTGGAGGGGGTGAAGGGCGCACAGTCACTGGGGAAAAATAACAACCAAGATACATCAGGTACAGGTACAAGCACCCAATGATAAATGTAAACATACTGCATACCTAAAATGTACCAATAAAAGAATTTAAAAGAAAAGAAATAAAATAAAATTCCTCCTTAGCTACCCCATGGAGGGGGGCGGGGCAGGGAGAAAGAGTGGGGAGAGTCTGGAACAACGGTCAAAGGAGAGAAGAAGACAGTGTGCTAGAAGAAAAAGAGAATCGGGGCGAGAGAGGGCAGACCTTTACGCCAGCCCAGGCCCTCCCTCTCTGGTCTGTCAGCTCCCACCTCTCCTCCGCTGGGGCAGGAAGGCAATGGTCGCCTCACCACCCTTCCACTCAAAGTCAAGACATCATTTTCTTGACAAGCCTCAGCATAGATTGTCTGAAACAATGGCAAAACAGAAGCAGCAAGGAGATGAGGCTCCAGATCCTACCCAGTTGGTCTATCTCGTCCTGTTCTCTGGCAAGGATAAAAAACTGGCCTATGAGGCACTTTAGCTGAGGCCCGTGGATTGATCACCGGTAGGACAGCCAAGTTTTGTTATCCTTCACTCAAGATGTGGGGAAATCTCTGGAGCAGGCACATTAGAAAGCACAACATGAACCTTTCAATCTTTCTCTGAAAAGAAGCAGAGAGGGCAGTGAGACCAACCTGTGCTTTCAGCCACATCCTCAGTCCGGGGTGGGTAAGGCCATGTGCTGCAGAGCTGCTGGTACCAAAAGTGCCCTTGTTCCAAGTCTAAGGGTGAAGCTTGGATCCTCCCCTTCCACTGCACAGGGGATGGGGGCATCTATGCTGTGGGTGGTCGGGAAAAGTGAAGCTGCCTGGCAGGTCCCCTGTGGGGCTCTGACAGCTGTATACTGTAGGCTGTGCTGAGATCAGTCTGGAGGAGCACGGGGTGGCGACAAACCTGTGCTCTGGAGTCCAACAGGCCAAACTCATGCTGTACCTTGGGCAGACTGTGCATGAAGGACTGGGGGCAAGCTGAGTGCCCCAGTTTCCTTATTGCTGAAATGTGCACGATAGCACTTTTCTCAGGAAGTTGTGAGACTTCAATAATACTGTATTTAAAGTGCTTAGGGCAGTGCTCAACACCCAGAAAACACTCAATCAATATTGTCTGCCATTATTCCTATTCAGAAAATATCAATAAGGCCCAATGACCACCTTACGGGTCCCACACTTCCTTCCTAACCTTTGTCATGTGTTGCCACAGGAGAAGCCCTAGTCAAAGCCAGGGTGGCTGACAGTAAGTTGGGGACAGCTAAGGGCATCACACGGGTGACACAGCCCTGGAAGGCTGTGGCTGTTTCTGGAAGGCTGGACCTCCTGCTAAGTAGGTCACCAGACACTGTTCGGGCCGTGGGTGAGAACAGTGCTCCACCCTTCATTGTGGTCAGTGGTGCTGTCTCCACAGAGCCCCGCTACCGTCAGCAATTAGACGGGTGGTAGCAGGCGGGTAACAACCACAGACTCCTCTTGCTGATGATCGTTAGAGAAATAACTGGCAAAACTAGGGATCTAATATGGAAATTTAGCAAATGGGGAATGGACAGAAGTTTTTTGCATTTGTTTTTCTGAGACCGGTGATAGTTTTTATTCTCAGAAACACTGACATGCGGTATGGACTTCTGGCTCAGACCAAACATCAACCAAGCCTTATTTATCCAGGGTAAGAGGCACAGGGGCTACAAAATATTCAGGATCTTGGATGTAGATTGGTAGTCTGGAGAAGTTCATCCAAAGGAGGCATATGGGTTGCTGAAAACAATACACTGCACTTACTTCCTAGAATGTGGACAGCTAACTAGTTTCTCAGGCAAATTTCTCTGAAGGTAGGTTTGACAAGTGGCAGGCATCTTGTTGCCTCTCAAAGATATTGCTGGTCAGAGGAGAGGGCAGAGAACTGCTGGAGGGGGATTTAGTCCTAGTCCTACCTCAAAAGGGGAGGACTTAAAATACCAGGAGGCCCACTGGGCCTGTAATGGAAGCTAGGTTCACCTTTGAGGTGTGGAGATAGCAAGAGGAAGGCCTGGGAGACAACCAGGAGGCGTAGAGAGGACCCTTACCCCAGTTTTCTCAGTGTCTTTCCCCGGACCAGGGCTTGGGACCCTGGGGTGAGATGTCTCCTAAGGAATGCCTGAAGTTGGGGCATGAGGAAGGTCTACCTTTCTGGTGTCACCTGTCCTCAGGTGCAAAGGACCCAGACATTCAGTGAACACAGGTGCCTCAACCTGGTAGATCCTTCATGGGAAGCACAACAGACTCTGAAGCATTTTGATGACCCTTGTGGGGAAAAAAAGTGAGTGAAACAAATTAACACCGAAACAAATGCCAAAGTAATCCTCTAAGGAAAAATGGCGCTGCATGAACCTGCTGGCTGACAGGTGTACTGATCATGCAGATGGAGAACATCATATTGAAGAAGTTCTGCAGGGAGCAGAAATCACTGTCCCTGGTTTAGATGTTGCCCGTGGAGCTTTTGATGTTCCGTTCAAAAAATGTTAAAAATCAACAAACCAATTCCTGTCTCCTGCTTTACTGAGGCAGCCACATTCTGGCCTCATGGTGCTAGATGTCTTTGCTGTCACCATAGTCGTTGTAGGGGATGCTCAGGGTCTGCTCCTCACATGTCTTCCTGAGGTCCCGGCTGAGCTCTGACCAGTCCAGCCCGTAGGGCTTGATCTCACTGTAGCGACAGCCCAGGTACTTGAGGGCACTGCGCCGCAAGCTTATCTTGGGTTCCTGGAGGAGTCCATTGCACCAACTGCTGAGATCTGCAAGCTGGGAAAGGATGAGGCCAGCTTTCCTGTGGACCATGCATGGAGGATACTTAGGTTAGAAAGAAGGGGAAGCCAGAGAGGACAAATAACCACTATTAGAGTGGGCTTAAAACTTCAAGAGAGCAGAGCCTCATCTGTTTGGCTGACCGTTCTATCTGCGACACTTAGAACAACAGATTCTCCATAAATATCTGTCCAGGAAATGAATGAATGAATGAATGAGTTAACTAACTAATTAATTAATGGGATGGTTGTGCAACGTGAGACAGGCACCCACAAGAAAGAGAGATAAAACACAGTAAAGAAAAATAGTTAATATTTTAGTGGGAATATATACTTGTTATAATCATAGAATCAACAGTCATGAAAGACAAACCAAATCCATTTTTCTACATCCAATAATTTGCCATTAAATGACAAGTAAGGTGCTTGGCTGAATACTTCCCCTTTCAAGGCTACATCTGAGTTGATAAAAGTATCCAATACATTACACTGAAGAGGATATGAGATGTGAACAATTAGCTCTGTACAAGGTAATTATATCATAAGAGCGAGGACAAGAGTGCCCTCCTTTCCCATGGACACAGAACAGTCTCCGGGTGGAGCAGACTCACCATCGCACACATCACCTCATCCAGATGAGCTCATGCTTGATCCCCTTGTCTTCCTGGGAAAGTTAAGAGGCCACTGCCATGGCCATTAAGGTCCAATCAAAAGAAGGGGAAGATGAGCAGATGAGAGGATGCCTGGGCCACTGCATGGGGGAAGGAGTTGAGGGGAGATTGCCCCAAGTTCACCCAGACCGGAAAGAGTAATTCTCCTCGGCCAAGAGCCCAGCATATGGGAGGCTGTGGTGTGCCGTCTGCATACTCCTCCTTCCTGGGCCCTGCTTCTGGTACCAGACACCAGAGCTACCTGACATCTAGTTCTCAGACCTCGCTCCATCTAACTCTGAGCATTTAGGATAAGCGAAGAAGAATTTCCTCATTCTGCTGTTTCTTCCTTATTTTTCAAAGAACTAAGTGACCAGAAACCTATTAAGGAAGATTTTCTTATTTGAACAAGGTCACTAGAGGCTGAAAGCTGCTGTTCTGTAAGCTTAAAGAATAGCACTCCTCAATATTTTTAGCCCTTTCTTTCTCTTTCTTTCTCTCTTTCCCTTTCTTTCTTTCTTTCCTTCTTTCCTTCCTCTTGCCTTCCTTCCTTCCTTTCCTTTTTCTTTCATTTTTGTACTGAGGATCAAACCCAGAGCCTTGTGCATGCTAACAAAGTGATCCACCACTGAGCCACACCCTCAGCTCTTCTACAAGTGTTTTGAATTTTGATACAGGGTTTTGTTAAATTGCCCAGGCAGGCCTCAAACTTGTGATTCTCCTGCCTTACTCTCCCAAGTCACTGAGATCACAGGAGTGTGCCATTGTACTCTGCCTCTTCTCTAGTTTGATCAACAATTCCTTCCAGAAGCTGGAAGTTTTCTACACCTCTTTTAGAATGAGTTCTCAAAGAACAATGACTGCATTCATTTCATTCTTCCTCTCTGTCCTGGCAGTAAATGCCACCAAGGGGTGACCTCACCACATTCCTTGGAGGACATGCTGAAAGGAGGCAGAGATGATGTTGGAGGAAAGGTGTTGAGCTTCAGCAGCAAAGTCAAGGGGCCAAGAGAAGTGTGAAGTCATTGGAAGGAAAGTTGTGTTTTTTCTGATGTCAGCAGTGGGTCAGGGGCAGTCAAACAAACACTCTGCCTGCGGACTAAATAGCTTCATAGTCAGATGATCTGTACTTTCCCTATCAGTTTCTGCAGTTTGGCCGAGCAGGTTTTCCAAAAGTCATGATCAACAAGCACTGTGTTGGCAGTTCCTCTCAATCTAGCCTGCTGTACGTCATTCATTGCTGTCAAATTTTTAGGAGGTGGAGGAAGGGGGAGTGATGGAAGAGTGAGGGTAGCATGGGCATCATCTTCAAGAAATGGATAAAGAAACACATCCTGGCCACCCACTCCAAAGAATGAATTTAATTAGCCCAGGGAGTCTTTGTTGCTGCTTTCAGTGCTCACTTTTTGTTTTTAAAATCGTAAATAGTTTGGGTCTTCTCTTGACCATCTCAAAGCCCTGGGCCTTTTTCTTAGTGACAGTGCAAACAATGTTATCCTGAAAGTATCTGCAGCCTCAGCTCAGTCTGGAGGCCTTCATGAGGGAATCCTTTCCTCTTGCTCACAAGCAGAAGCGTGTATGTACCCACAGTCCCATTTTTATTCATTCTCACATCTAACCCCAAAGTGGGTTGTTGTAGCTGAAGTCAGAAGACTTTCTTTTCCTGGGGTTCTCCCTGAGATCAGTGAGAGTAAAAAGCTAAACTTCATTTTCCATAGGCTAATGAAACTACACAATGTTTTCTAATACATATCTATGAAAGGCCAGTATTACACATGAAAGAGCCGCCCGGGAAGAGAGACTACAGTCGGCAGCAGAATTTACTTTACCTGGAGATCCACATTTCTTCCCCTGCTCTCACTTTCTTCATTAACCAATTTTCTTTCTAAGTCTTGAGTCACAAAAGAGAAATTTTAAAAAGACTCCAAATGCCCTTAGAAATCAAGATGAAAATATAATGTTAGTGCTGTGGCATTTATGCTCCCTAACAAAGAACGGTATAAGCACACCCAATAAATGTCACAAGAAAAGGGGAAAAAAGAGGAAAGAGGGGAACCGGCATCAGAGGGAAGGGAGTAAGAAGAAGGGAGAGAGGTGGAGAGAGGCATGGTACTGGGCATGAGCAATAATAAGGTCAAAAACAGAGATAAGGAATGGAGTATGAGGATATTTCTTCATGTGCCTACTTCCTAACCCAGGGTTTGCCTTTTACCAAATCTAAGAAAGAAACAAATTAAATATCCCTTACATCCTTCTTGTTGGCCCATAGCAGTGGCTTTGTTTGTGTGAGGACTATTATGCTTTATAAACATCAGGAGCCAATTTATAGACTGTAGAAAGATCTTGACTGCCCTTATGCATAAAATCTTTTTGTTTTAGGAAGCCCACCCTAAATTTCCTTTTCTCTTTAAAAGTAAGAAAATAGAAGGAAAATGGCTTGAACAACGGTCTAGGACATTTTAAAATGACAAGTGATAACGGGCTCATTAAGGCAGAGTCTCGTCCAAGTCAGAGGCTTGGGATGACTGGGGAGATCCTTTAGCTCAGCACGGTTGCCAGGAAGGCAAGAATACTGTGAAGTAGTCAGAGGATTCTACCACATTTTTCTCACTTTCTCTTAATTCTCTTTCTTCACTTTCTCCTCTCTCTCTCCTTCCCTCCCTCCTTTTTATTTCTTGCCTTTCTTTCCTCTCTTCTTACCATTCTCACAGTTTTTGCTTCATTTTTATTTTTTCTTCATGAGTTTCTAAATAACGTAGAACACCTAGGTGCCAATTTCCATATGCCTTTTTATCATGTTCATCAGAAAATTTTCGTATTTCCACACAGTCATGATGTATAGAGCAAAAGAAAGGCGATGACTTCGCACCTTCTTCTCACTCCTTAACCTCGCAGATCTCTATCTGGGCTGTGCAACCAGAAACCAGCAGGTTCCCAGTGTTAGTGGGCTCAGCCTTGGGGCCAGGAAAAGTTGGTAAGCATTACACCGTTCCAACTCGGGCCAGCACCGATGTCAAAGAGGATCTTCAGCTACTCTCATGTTGCCCTTCAAGAGCACGTGGAATTTAATGGGTCTGTATAATGCAAATAACATAAACAATGTTCATGCACAATAAATATTTTGGGATATAACTTCTTTAATAAAATTCCTAGTTTCCTTTCATAGCCCTGAGGTTTTAGCATTTTAAATTCTGTGTCACATGATAAAGGAGGAGGAGGTAAAGCAGATCAGGAGCAAAGGTATTATCAGAGTTCTGGAAACACATTCACTACTTGACTGCTTACAGAGAGCTTATCCAAAACTAAGCTAAGCTATCAAAACTAAGCTATCTAAAAGCAGAGGACTTATTTCTCTAAGGACCCAAGCCCACCCAAGAAATTTGTGCAACTTCTTGGAAGCAGTAATACAGTGCAGGAGGTAAGAGTTTAAAAGAACCAATTGAGTTACCTGGGGCCTAGTTCATCCTCACACCTCCATGTGAATTCTCCAAAGCTCTCATAGTGCTGGTTATAGTGGTAAAGGACTCGATGTAAGGTGGGGGAACCCAGATCCAGGAGGGTGTTGTAGGCAGTCTGTTGTTCCTTCCCACTTGTATAGCCATTGAAAAGATTGTAGATCTTATCTGCTATCTCTGAGGAGGGAAGAAAGGGCAAATATAATCATGCAATGCTCATCAGTGGTTTTGAGAAATGTAGCATTAGGTGATTTCAACATTGTGCAAACATTACAGAGTGTATGTGGTGTTCATGATGTAGTTTCAGCTTGATTTGGCTTGGAATCACCTTGGGGATTGGTGGAGAAATCCCCAACATCTAGGTGTGTTCCCATGGGTCATGGAGGTGTAGCCTTGTGGTGTCTGTCTGGTCCCTTGTCCCTTCCTCTCTGGCACTCTTCTGTTCTGCTGCCTGGCCACCATGAATTAAGCAGCTTTGCTCTGCCACAACCTTTTGGATGTTTCTGCCTTGGAGCCAGCTGACCACAGATTGAAACAGTGAAACAAACAACTAAAGCTTACCTCCTTTATGTTGTGAGTATTTGGTATTGTGTCCAGCAATGGGAAAGCTGACTAATACAGTGTACTTATACTACTCACGCAAACCTAGATGGTATAGCCTACCACCTCACAAGGATGTCTAATTTCTGCAAGGGCAATGAAATCTCTGCGATTTCACAAACAACACAAAACTAAATGAGGTGTAAGAAAATAATGTCATCAAGAGCCATGGTCAGTATAAGATATGTGAGGCTGCTGCTGGCATAGAGCAACATGCTGTTTTATAGTAAACTTTTTATAAGCGGAAATATTCTCTAAAATAATGCTAAAAGAATAGAACAGAAAATACACAAACCAATAACATAGTCACTTGTTATCACAATCAAGTATTATGTACTGTTCATCACTGTATGTCCTACATTTTTATTTGACTGGCATTGAGGTAGGTTTGTTTACACCACCATCACCACAAACATGAAAATGCAGACTACTGTGACATTATAACACCTACAGCATCACTATACAACAGGAGTGTTTCAGTTTCACTATAATCTTATGGGCCACTGCCATGGACGTGGTCCATTGTTAAGAAAGTGTTGCATATTACGTGATTATAAATGTGATTTTATATATTTAGTGCATGCATGAACACCACATGTACATGTGTACTTTTACATGGCTGTATATATTTATATGCATGTATGAGGTGTGATCAAAAGATATGGTGAATGTTTAAATTTTTTTAAAAGTCTTACAGTAAAAGACATTGTCATTAATTCCCATCAGAATATTCCCCCTCTCTGAAGCAGCTCTAGAAGTCCTCTTTTGTTGAGTGTCTTTACAAAGTATGAATAAAAACCCCAGTATGTCTTTTAATGTAATAAATTTTTAATTTAAAATTTCACCATACTTTTCAATCATGCTGTGTATGTATGTGTGTGTATGTTATTTCTTTAAAAATACTAAGCCTAAAACCTGGAGAAAATGATTTATATAATTCTCTTTCCTTCTTCCTCACCAGGCTGCATGTTTTTCCTATATAAAATAGAAGCCTTTGACTAAGACACCTCTAAGGTCAGTTTCAGTTACAATACTGTAAAAATACATAGCTTCATGAGAAAGTTCATATAGTCATACTTGAATGGCAAGTGCAATTTCAGGGAGGCAGGAGTGAGGATAAAAGTAAATGAGATAAGAAATCAGAGAGAGGAAATAAATATAAGAGAGTGCATTCAGGAGCTGGCCACACTGCCCTTATAAGCTAGTGGCCCTGTTTTGCAGGATAGGATGTATGAAGCTACTGGATCCCTACAGGTCAATCTAGAGGGAGAAAGAAAGACTTTGCCTCTGAATCACATAAAAGGTTGGGCAAGTTTGATCTCCTGAGGCATTAACACCCCTGCATCTTTCGGTTGTATATGCCTGGGTAGCAAGTAGTCTTGCAAAATCAATACAGATGCCCAGCCAGTAGGTGGCAGGCATTAGGAGCAGGGGTGAAGTGAGGCACTGTCAGTCAGGCTTGTGGGCAAGTGAAGCACCTGGAGCCCCAATGACTATGGAAGCGAGGACCACCTAGGCCAGATACAATGGCAGACATGGAGATCTTTTGGGATGCAGAACCTGGTCTGTAACATTCTGTACCGCCAAATGAGTAATCTTCCTCTTTACATCTGCTATTTCTGTCTCAAAGGCTTACAGTGCAAAGACTAAACTTGGTGAGGGTGCAGAGTGGCAATGAGTTTGTATAACTTTGCATTATGTTGCTCCAAGCACTCTATCGTTAACGATTTTCTCACTCAAACTGTCAGAAAGGAGATGTGTTTACGTGTTCTTCCTAAACATCTGGGAGCTAGGATCTAGTGAAAGTGCTTTGTCTTGGATCTGGTGTTAATTCTGGGGATGAAAAAACTAGGGCCACAGGTATCAAAACCAGATCTTTGCCCATTTGACTCTCTGCTAACTTAAAGGCATAGTAACCTAATTCCTTGCCACAATTCCAAGTGAATTCAGGGCTGCTGGTAATGACAGATTCACCCAGGAGTTCCCTGGGTTGAAATGAATGAAATCTCTACCCATAACCTGGTCTATACAGTGCAAAAAAGTAAAATCTATGGCACCTCCAGTTATTTTTTAAGGCCAATAACTTCCACAAACTTTACACATGTGAATTCTAATCCTTACACCACTACTGCATATGGATATAAGTGTCCCTGTTGTATGAGTGAGGAGATTCAGAAAGAGGCCAGGCTACCTGCCAAGCTCACATAGCTAATGTAGGCTGGAGTCAAGGTTCCCCACTATATCTATCTGCTATTTTGCACAGTGCTCAGTAGTTGGTGGTGTATAACCCAATGTAAAGTATAGGCAGCAGACTTGGGGGTGGAAAAGCTGGGTTGACTTTCTCTAGTACAGGGCATTGCTCTGATTAGACCATAAGTGCTGAGGAAGCAGGAGTCTTAGTAGGTGTGCAAGGAACTTGTCATTTCTAGAGTTGAGATAGATGGAAGCAGAGGGACTGTCCTAAGAGCTCTGCTGTATTTGATGGGAGAATGGGATTATTTGCTAAGACAAAAATCACCAAGGGAAGAAAAATGTTGATCAAACTACAGCACAGATGGGAGGTTATGGGTACCTTTACTATCCCTGCACTGAAGGCAATGTGTTATTTCTCGCCATGGGAAACAATGACCCTGGTTGTGGCAGTCTCCACTGAGAAACAGCAAAGGCAAAGAAGGTGATTCCAAGCCTGATGACATTCTCATAGCATGGCAGTCATTTCCAGCTAGAGAAAGCTGATGGACACTTCCTGTCATCTGCACCATGTGGGATTGAACCATGCTCCACCACAAATCTTGTAAAACCAAGATCATCTAACTCCAGGGTGTGCTTCAGAGCTGACACCAGTAAATGGGATGCTATTTTCAGAAAGATCTACACCCCAGCTCCCAGAGCACAATTATTTCTGGCTCCTCCAATCTCCAGAGATGGAACTGAGAGATTTTATTTCATTAGCCTTCATAACATTTCAAGAATTCACTAACTAAAAGAATTAAAAGGAATATAGATATTTTAATCATTATTTTACCCAGCCTCACAGACAGAGATATCCATGACAGATCACTGTCTTTCCCTTTCTTAACATGCATGACGATCAGGAGCAGATAAAATGCAGGTGAAATGATGGCAAGGAGTCTGTCTACAGTCTCATCACAAAAAAGGAAGCTGAGTTATCAGAAGGGCACTGAGTTCTTGCAGGCAGCAGCATAAATGAACAAGGCTGGAACTTTGGCACTCAGACCCAAGGGTCTAGTTAGAAGCACGTACTGTGGCATCAAGTGGAGTCAGGCTCCACTCTACTAGTTGTGTGCTCTAGGAGGTTACTTAGTCTCTCTGGGTCTTGGTTTCTTGTCTGTTCAGTGATGATTAATTATATATGTCTTCAAGATTGTTGTGAGAATAAAAAGGTTGTTCAACATGAAGGCTTTATTTAGCACAACTGCTGGGCGAAGTAAGCTTACATTGATTCATTCATATAATAAACTTCCATTGAAGGCGTATCAATGCCTGACACTTTTCTAGGTGGCTGGGCTACATCAATGAGGGAATCTGTTAGAAATCCTCACTGTGTAATCCCAGTAGTACCAGGAGACATTCAAGTAAGCAATAAGGCTAAGAAGTAAGTAAAATATAACGTGTTAATAGAAAGTGGCGAAAATAAACTGGAAGGAGATTAGGAGTGCTGAATGGGCGGAGCCTAATTTTTAAAAGTGCCCTGGCAAATCTGGATAAAAAGATGGACACTGGGGCCAAAGTGGGGATGAATGGAGGAGGACTGGCTGCTGAGCTCTCCCAGGAGGGGTGGGTGGTGACAGCAAGCACCAGCGCGAAGGCTCTAGGGCTCCAGTGGGCAGCACATCTGCAAACAGCAAACAGCAAACAGGTCAGAGTGCCTGAAGAAGGCAAGGGATGGGCAGACTCAGTGGATACCAGTTTTGTATTACTGTCAGTTCTTAACCAGAACATGCTTTCCTGGATGCCACGAGAAAGAAATCAAGGAAGATAATCTGGTTTAAATGAGATGGGTCACGCCAGGGGCAGAAGTTAACTTCCACACCCCCAGAACCATAAGGGTTCCATAGTTGACCTTTTTATATGAACTAGGAATCCTGGGAGCATCTTTTCCTCCCATGGGTGGTTTCCTTGGCACCATGATAAAGCTTCCAGGATAGAGGTCCCAATTCCTCACTTTCATCATCTTCAAGAGACACCTGCAACTTCAGCCAGGTGAATGCTTCAGGAGAATCAGTTTCAACAGACTTTCTATCATTGTCTGCCTTAGCACTTTCTCTATTGAAAGGTCACTTTCCCTCACCCCAACCCTGGCCTCCTTCCTCTACACCTTCTCTCCACAAGCTGCAGAGTGCATCCTCCACACCCACGATTCTCACACTTGTGTGCATCAGAGTCAACAGGAGGGCTGACTGCTACCCAGATCACTGGTTCTGCTGGAGTTCCTGATTCAGCCGGTTCCAGACAGAGCCTAAGAATTTGGATTTCTAACAAGATCCAAGATGCTGTTGCTGCTGCTGGCCTTGGCACCGCGCTCTGCAGACCACTGCTCTGCAGTAATCCATTCTTTCAAAACTGTCCTGACTTCCCTCAGGGACCAGCATCATTACCTGTTAAGCAACTCTCTTCACCCCTGACATGGGCGTGCTCTCTTCCTTTCCCCCACGCCTCCGTGTTGATCATGCTTTCCACAGGACAGAGGGGTCCTTCTCCTGTCCCCTAGAGAAGGGTGGGGTACCAGGTCTTGGGGCCACTTTCAACTTACTTTCCTCCCCGAATATATATTAAAATCCATTCATTTTCAAAACTGTTCTCATTCCTATTTCTTCCCACTTATTTCTTGACCACTGTTCTACATTCACTGAAGAATCTGGCTTCCGGTTTATCTCCACATCATTACCGTAAAGGATGACTTCACTCCCCATGGGAAAGGCCTTATTTAAGTCTAGAGTCCTCCAACCACCAGAAGTTAGCCATCAATCCTGAGAACCACTTCATCTTTGAAATAGTAAATCTCAGTATCAACTATGTGAACACAACCTCCTTTCACATCTTCTGCCTTTCTTACTGTTAGTAAATCTGTTTGTCAATGATGGAAACCTAAGTGTGCTTCCTCCACACCCTCGCTCCTGTGTCTCTTTCCTTCTCAACCTGACCTAAGCCACACGCCCACAGTCCACACCCTCAGCTTGCCCTCATTCTGCCTTCTCTGTGTAATCCTTCATGCTGGGAGTCCTGGGGGCACAGACCCCTGAGCCTGGCGGAGCCGCTGCTATAGACATCTTTTCACAATGCACCATAGACTTCTGTGCCTCTCATGCTTCATTTCCTGATAAATTCTTTTGGTTTAGTCATCAAAATATTTAGAACCAGACTAGCTCTCACCACCTCTGCAAGTGTCACTCTGCTCTGGAACAATATCCCCTCTCCTCAGAATCGCCACATTTTCTACTTTCACATTAGACCCCTTTTAGAGTCTGCTCTCACTCAGCACAGCTGTCACAGCGGCCTGTAAAACTTCGAGTCTGCCCAAATCACTCTTCTGCTTCAAGTGCTCCAGGGCTTCTCATCACAGTCCCAGGCACAGTCCAGTATGCTACTGATGACCAGGCCCCCTGGGTTCTGCCCAGAGCCTCTGAGAGCCCCTCTGTCTCCCGCCTTTCCCTCCATTCTCTTCACACACGCCATGCAGTTCTCCACTGCTTCCTGGAACGATCTTCCCCTAGAGAAACCTGTACGGCCTCCTCCTTCACTTTCTTCCCAAGCCACACTAGTCAAAATGCTACCCTGACATGCCTGTGCCATGCCCTCTTGGTTTGCCTCTGTAACATACATAATCATCTTATAAATTATATATTTTATTATTTTTTTCTATCATCTCTGCTAAAATATAAGCTCTGTGAACAAAGGAGCTTTGCTCCTAATGCCTAGGACAGGTATTTAGTGAAGGGTCAATTTTGGATGAATTAATAAATTCATGACACCTGATTATAAAATTCTTGAAAACAAATTCTGAGTCGAATTACTTTTGTTTCTTCAGCATCTAGTACCGGAGATTGGTAAGTGGCTGTGGAAGGAGCAAAGGAAAGACTGGACCCATATTTATGCTTCCAGCAGGGGAAGAGGATGGATGCCGGGGGAAGGATGGAGGAGAACTAGGCCTCCTCCAGAAAAGCTCTGTGAGGAATCTCAGGAGACCGTGGTCCAGCCTTCAGACCAGCCAATAGGGCTGCTCTTCCCCTGACACAAGAGAACCTCCTAGGGAAGCCTTATTTCAGTAAAACACTGGTAGAAACTTATTTACACAATAGCCTTGGGGTAAGGACATGATAAAATCCTTCATACAAACTATGTTCACATGACGGTTAGTGTCTGGCTTCTGGCTAGGCAATTAGGAGCTGAAGTCATGCTCTGGGTCACTTTTGTTATCAGATGTGAGGAAGTTATATTTATGATCACCACCTGCGTTTGAACACGGCAAAGCATATAAATGGTTGTGGTATGTTTTGGGGTGTTTTTTTTTTTGGTAGAACTGCTAGCACTGTGTTATTTTGCAAGGATGTCCTCAACAGTCTAACTCATTAATCTCCAGGACTGCCCTGTGCAGGACCTTCTTCCTGGCTGAAGGATCACAGGACATGGGAGTGTTATTTCATTCTCTCAACACTAAACTGTCTCTTGTGCTTCCAACTGGTCAGCTGGGATTTCAGAAACTCACCTTTGCCAGGAGAAGCAGACAGAGCAAATCTTGACACCCCTTGCAGGACAAGAGTTGACCCAAAAGACTTCTACAGAGAAAGCAGGATAGTGGTCTGTCCCTGGAAAACCCCCGTGTTGGCCACCCTTTATTCTAGAGCTATGCTCTACTCATCTATCTCTGTAGGTAGCACCACACTGTCCCCTTCCACCTGCTGACTACGTCCCTGAAGCTCTCACAGCCTGCTGCCTATCAAGCAACTTCATGACAGCTGCCTGCAAAGCCACCAGCAAACTAACCCGGAAATGGTGAAGGCAGCTTCTTATTGCCTCCTCCTCTCTGGGTTACAGTGAAAAGACGTGACACCATGAGGGTGCACTGGGTCCCCTCCATACAGACCCTCATCCGGGAGTGCTCAACCCCAGAGTGCTTTCATGCTGAGGAAATTTCAGAGGTTTCAAAGTCACATCCACTCTCTGAAGAGAGAAGCACACCTGCCTCCCACTGACGCTCTCCCCACTAGTGTGACATTCCAGTGGACACTGCCAGTCTGGAGAGGCAGAACCTGCTGGTCTCTCTTTTAAAGTAATTCTTCTCTTCATTATACATTGTCAGATACAAAGAAAAAATTAAGTCCATTATGCAATAACCCTTTAAATATTTAGTGGTAACATTACAAAATGGGAAGTGGGGTCCGAGAGCAAGCCTAAGTGCTGGCTCTATTAAATGCTTTGTGACCTTCGTCACTTCATTCCATTCTGAATCTCAAGTTCCCCATCAATAAAATGAGGGCAATTTGAACTTGTGTTGCTGACTCCAGAGGCGAAGTTCCTCTGTGACCCCTCAACCCCGCAGCATATGAGGTGCCTAACAGTGAACAAAAAGAGGCAGGCGCCTGGCCGCATGGAGCCCACTGTCCAGTGAGGTAAAGTGACGTTTAACACATCAGGAGAGCAGGAAACTGAGGTGAATATCCTGAAGGAAGAATCGTGGCACCATGAAGGTACCTAAGAGTGGCTTCTGTCCCCTTCTTTACCGGGAAGTCCCACTTGATCTGAGATCTGCAGGCTGAGGTAAATTAATCTGTTGGAGGGGTGAGCGTGGAGAGTATTTGGAGTAATGGAACCTACATTTGCAAAGGCCCCTAGAAGAAGAAGGAGTGATGTCGGAGGAATTGAGGAAGGTAGGGAGGCTGGTATGTAGAGGCTAAGGAAGGGAATGGACAGCGGGGTAGGATGTGCTGGAAAAGTGGACAAAGGTGACCCACTTAGTTCCTAATATGCCTGGTAAATATTTTTTGTCACAAACAAAATGGAAATCTGTTGAAGAGTTTAAGAAAAGGGCTTTGATATAATCAGATGTCTGTGCTGAAAATACCGTGTTGTTAACAAGTCACACTAATTAAATGTGAAAATATTTTCAGAAGTTCTATGGAGCTACAATATTAGTGCTTTTAATTAAAGTAGGTCTAATTCACTCTTCTTTCTGTGCCTTTGTATCAACTTAGTGTCACCCGTGGACATTCTGAGAGTGCCTTCTTCCTGGTCAGTCTGATGCAAAGCATCAAGTCCCACATGGAAGGTGATTTGCGGGATATCAGCAAATCAGCATGGTGACAATATCCCACTTATTGAAATCTGCACCGATTACACTGCCTGTATTCACCAATGCCTCTGATAACATGTAAATGGTATCAGTTCAATTTTACCCAATAGATATTAGTGGTTGATCGGATTACTTTAATTAGTGCTGCAGCCCTTTAGAAAAAGTGACCAGGATGGAAGGATTCTGGTTGTAGAGGGAATGTGAAAATCTTAGAGCAGAAGACAATGTCAAGACCAGCCAGGCAGCGCCAGCTGTGTAATGAATGTTAATTAGAAACGAACTCTTCCTAATTAACCAGGGTTAATTATCAAAGAACTGGCAAAAGATTTCAATGCACCTTTGCTAGGGAAGGAAAGAGATAGCAGTTAATTTCAAATCTGCAGCCTTACAATGATCAAAGTCAAAACACCTTTTAGATGTACAGAAAACACTGAAGAGAGTAGCTGACTCCATTTGTACCCTAAGGGCAGGGGTCAACGTTACCTAGCTCAAACCAAAATAGCTGATTGCCTGCGCCCTCCTTGACTTACAAACGATGTGTGACACTACAATACAGTGAGGAGCACTTCTGCAAAGTCTTTGCTTCTGTACTGAGCCTTGGGTTCTTCCCCTTCCCGGCTGAATTCCTTGACACTTCTTTCTCAAAGACAGGAGGAGTCCCTGGAGTACCCTGTGCACATTCTGCTAACCTCAGTGTCTCTTACCTTGGGCTTTCACATCATCCACCACAGGGCAAGGGGTCTTCACAATCATGTCACTTGGCCTGGAACGTCGTCCTGTGTTATCCACTCCCCAAAGGGTGAACCTGGCGGGGAGGTTGGAGGGGATCGTTACCAGAGAGAACAGGGCCAGAGGCAAACCACAGCTCTGGCTGCTGTTGTCATCCTGAGACACTCACTGCCACCACTCCGATCAGAAAGCACGCAGCCTGGCGCCTCTTCCTGCTTCCCGTGGGGTCAGGGATAAATTTGCTGACTTGGATCTGGTGGAAAGTGCCACAGTGAGGGGCACTGGTTTGCCACATGGAGGCCCCAGACCTGCAGCCTCAGCATCAAACTGTGAGCCCTGAACCCCAGTGCCTGTGAGTGAGGGCTGGGACCAGAAACCTGTGCTCTACCAAGCCTTCCAGGTGATTTGGGTTTTTTCCTTTCCTTCATCATTTTTTGTTTGTTTTGTTTTGTTTAGTTTTGTTTTTGAGATGTTGCCCAGGCTGATCTCAAACTCTTGGGCCTCAAGTGATCGTCCTGCTTCAACCTCCCAAGTAGCTGGGCCTACAGGTGTACCCCACCATGCCCAGCCACCTTCCAGATGATTCTGATGTCAGTTTAATTCTGACAACCAGTGAGTTGAGAAAGAGTATGTATCTCTGGAAACAGAGGGCCAGACTTGGGTTTAAGGCCGCGTGGAGTTTCAGGCACTGCCATGAGCTTTACTTTCCCTTATCTGTGAAACATGGATGATAATACGGCTGCTCGCACGTCCTTGTGAGGATGAGGTGAGGTAATCACGCACAGTAAGACCTGGGGCATCGATCCTACAAGGACCCTGGAAGCATCATATTCTCTTCTGCTTTGTCCGTGACCCTCATCTTTGTGCACAAAGACTGAGCACAATTTTACTTTTTAAAGTCACAAGTGAGACAGTCAGAGTAGCAGGTCCCTGGCTTGTCCAGGACTGGATGCTTCATTCCCCACACTCAGCTCCCTCTCTTCCTCTGAGCTGCTGCCCAGTGTGGAACTGGAATCCAGCAGGAAATGCTATGATCCTCCAGCAACTTAACATGCAGCGCCCAGGAAATCCCAAGGAGAAGATGTAGGCCTAGCTACCAAAGGCCAAAGGGAAAATTTCCTCCTTGGGAAAAATTCCTCTTGGAATTTTGGAATCACCCTTTGGGTGATGGAGCTGGTTAGAGATGAAAGAGAAATGCTAGGATCCGCTACTCAGAGGGGAATTTGAACATCACCATAAAAACAAGCACCAGTGTCTGCCCAGGGCCTCTGATAGGTAACCCGGCCAGTGTAAAGGAAATCATACAACACTGCTTTCTTTGTCCCTTCCCTTTTTTTTTTCGTGTGTGTGTGTGTGTGTGTGTGTGTGTGTGTGTGTGTGTTGCCACCAGAAGGCTGCATAGATTGGCAAACAGAATTTCTGGGAGAGGTACAAGCAAAATGAAGAGAGATATCTCAAGATGGAGTGGCCCAGGTAGATGTCAGCCAGGCCAGAAAGTGTAGGACTGGTGAGACAGAAAGAAAGGGAAAGGAATTAATGACTTTTCCAAGAAATATGTGTTCCTGGGGCCAGGGGAAGTGGGAGGGCTAGGAGAAAGGAAAGAAGGGAATGGAATTAACATGGAAAAATGAAAAAAGGGAAATAAAGTCTTTGTAAATAGGGAGGGATGGAGGGGTTGAAGGGAGGGTAGGGGAAGGGGGAAAATAAGAACCAAGAGAGACTATGTAAAGGGGCAGATTTCCAATGATGAATGTCATTACATTGTACACCTAAAATGTACCAAGAAAATTAAATTTTAAAAATGTGTTCCTTTCAGCAGAGAAAAGACCACCTCTTGGCCACCATTCCCAGCAAAGAAACCCAGAAGACGGTCAGAGTGAGAACCTGTGAGCCTGGAGGAATCGTCGCTCCTTCCTCTGCCTTGCCAAACCCCCACGGGCATCAGAGGGACTCACGAAGGCAGGCTGCAGCCCTGGAAGGCCGGGGCCGGGAGTGTGACGACCCGCCAAGGCCCAGGACGTGGCTGCCCAGGGCACAGCTGGGGGATCCCCGCGGGACTCCCCACCCTCCCTGCCGACCAGGACCGAGGGCTCGGCTTCCTCTCCTGTGTGCACATGGGAGCTCCGTCCGCTCCACTGGCCTCTGCCTCACCTCCTGCTCATGAGATCTCATCGACAGTCTTACCTAGGACTAAGCCCCACCCTAACCCTGACCTGAAGCCAGGGTCCTGCCACCCTTTCCTTCTTGCCGTTTCTCTCCCCTTGGCAGCAGACCCACACAGCGTTCAAGGGCAGCACTGGGCTGCCTCCACCCCTAGCACTGGCAGCCACGGCATTTCCTCTCCTTTGGCTCTACATACTTCAACTTCTTGATCCTATTTCTAAAACCATGGCCGAGGCCACCAAACTCTGAGGGTGTCTATCTGGGTGTCTATCTGGGTGTCTATCTGATGGGACCTGCGTCCATCCCCACTTCCGTTTAGTCCCTCGGTGCAGTCTTGGAGCAGGTACCGATTCTCCTCCCTGCCTCCTCACCCCAGACACCCTTAGCTACAGTCTTCAGGGATGAGGTAGACTGAAGACTTGCACTTCATGGTTTGGGATCCCCGTATTGAACAAGTTCTCTGTGTCTCCTACAAGAACTTGGGATGGGATCAACTCCCAACTCACCCCCACGCTTGCCCCACTCCCCCGGGGGAGCTCTGCTTTCTATCTTGTCTGCTACAGTTCCACAGTGTAGAAAGTCAGAAACCCCAAGGACTTAGTGTGGTACACATTTCGGTAGGGCTGTCCTGTGGGGGCCCGAGTGAGCCCCTTTCTCCTCAGGCAGATCGTGATCTGGGGCCCTTGTGTGTTCGAAGTCGACTGCCTGCCAGAAGTGGGAGGTTGAGCTTTACTGCAGACTCCACACTGATCCCGGTCCAGCAGCTGTTTTCATCAGAGCTGGGAGATATGAAGCCCTGTTCTCCCCAAGATGATGCTGGAGGGCTGGCCCTGAGCCTCAGTGCTCACAGTCAGCACTCCTGCTGCCATCACCATTGCCCTCTCCACTGTGTCTGAGTCCTGGGCTCTTTAGCAGAGGTCTGCTTGCCTCCTGGTCATTTCCTGTAGGTCTGGTCTTGTTTTGTCTTCCCCTGTCCACCTCCTAGGGCCCTGAGCATGGCTCTGGAATTTCAGATAGGGCCACAGTCTGTCTGCTCACTGATAGCATGATTGCCACCTGCCAGTGCAGTGAAGGTACCCGCCCTAGTCCATTATGGCTGACCTCAGCCAACTAGTGCAGCCCACCATCAGTTAATCACGGAGCCTCAATTTCAAGTAGTTTTCCGGCACCATGATGAGAAGTGCCTTAAATCTCAGGTACCAAACTGGCTGCTAGGTGGAGTTAATTCCAACTCATCCTCCAGCCTGTCCCGCTCCCCCGGGGCAGCTCTGCTTCGGAGCTTGTCTTGCTATAAGTTCAAGCCAAACTGTCTCAGATCCTGAGCTAGGACAAAGGTGTTTGCACATACATTAAATTCTCATATTACTCCAAAAGGCAACTAGTGTAAAACTTAGATTCTAAGCTCTAAACTATTTTTATTAGCATATTTTAATATGAAGCAGATATTAGGAAAGGAAATGCTGATGGAGGGTAGAGAAAGAGCTTGACCCAAGGTCTATCCTCAGCTGCCCCAGCTCCCTCGGTCCCTCAAGGACATGGAGAGAGCACCAGTTATTTGGTTAGTTAGGGACAGGGATTACGTTACACAGTTTCATGTGTAGGATCCAGGAAGGGCTTCTCTGTTTATTGTCAGTATTATCGTTCCTGCCATTAAACACTAGCAGGACAGTGAGAGAGTCAGCTGGAGTTACTGGACAGAAGAGGTAAGTACGGCTTGCAATCCAGAGGGCTCACATGTAAGTACTTTCACTGCTTCGTCCAAAATTTCTGGGCTCCTGCCACTGCCGCTTGGCTGGGACAGCTCAGTGCGTAGTTAGAGACGTGGTGATGACACTGACCGACCAGGGGGTGTGTGCGTTCGTGAGTCTGTGCAGCATGGCTTGGCTCCAGGGCCAGGTCTTAAAGGCCTGGGACTCAGTGTGCATGGAGGGTTGCGAGGCTCCTGCTGCCCAGGGCTGGCTGCGCTGCCTGCTACTTTCCTGCTTTCCCCTTCCGACCCTGGTGCTTTCTGCCCGTCCCTCTGACTCGGCTACCATCTTCTGAGTTATGTCTGCTGTCACATTCCCAGAAAGGTATGGGCTCCCTTGGGAGCAGGGGTTGTGAGAGAGAGACAGTGGGCTAGAAGGCCACTGGAAATGAAGAGTTTGGACCAGACACACTGTAAGATCCCTTTCAGTGAGGGGTCCTTTACAGTGTTTGTATTATGGACCCTTCTCAAAATAATGTTCTTTAAAAATAAATTAAATACAGCAGAGACAAAGGAAGCTAGCTGAAATTTACCTTTACCTGCCTGACCACCAGTGAGGAGCAGTAAGTCCAATCACCCAGGGTGGGCCAGGATTTTCAGACATAATAAAGAATACCACAGAGACAGATCTCCATAAGTGATTAGAAAACTCTGTTCCAAAGTTTAAGGGACTTAACAGTTATTTGGTGCTTAGGAACAAAACTGAGTTTGGGGCCCATTCATTCTCAACTCTTAATTCCAGATTTCGTCACTGTGTCAGGGATTGAAGCACAGGCTTGCCCGGACCCTCCACAGAAGGGAGCCATTCGGCCGCCCACATCACCCTCTCCCTGTGATCTGCAGTGCCACCTGGTGGACATTGGCTGTTTCTTCCTTAGTCCCAGGCCTCACAACTTCAAAAATCAACACTGGTAGAAAGTTTCTGTTTTACAGCACACTGGAGGGGAGTACCAGAACATCACTAGGGAGAGCAGGAGTGGGAGAAGGTATTGATCTGAAATCTTTGATCAAGAAACTAAGCCTGATTGGGACCAATAAGCACTCCTAAAGGAACTGTGCCAATCTCGTGCTCACTGAATTTTGAAATTCCTAATTGACTCCTGTAACAGTGACAGAAATCGCTGAGGCCTCATTATAAACAGAATACAAGTTTAACTGAGTTTGAGATGTTTTAGATCAGGTTGGTAAGCTGCATTCCCAAATCCTGTTCCTTCCATCGTCCCCCTCCCAAGAAGGGCCACGGCTGCCTAACATCAAGAGAGTCCACGAGGACGGTGGGGTTAGCACCCACAGAGAAAACCACACTCACTGATCTTCCTTTACCCTCTACGTCCACACATGCCCTTCCGGGCCTCTAGAATGGCACTCGTCTCAATGTGTTTCAGTCTGTCATGCACAGGCTCTACTTAGAGCTCTCACTCCTGTATTGAAGATACTGAGCCAGAACATCTAAGTTCATCGCAATCAATGCCACTCAAAATTCTAGTGCTTTTCATCTTTGAACTCTCTGACTGTGGAAATGGAAATGATTTATTCTGGAAACCTTGACGCTATTCCCGTGACCTCATCTGTAAACTGTTAAATGTTTTTCATACTGATGGGGTCAAAAGGCCCCAGAACTGCATCACTCTGTATTCTGCCTTCACCCTCAGATTTTTCCATGACTTAGATTCTAACACTATCTCTCTTGCTTTGGCGTATGCTTCACAAGTATTTTACTATTGTTCCCAGAGCAGAGAAAGAGATGGGGAAGAGATCAGAGGATGGGGCTGTTCCAAGTGCCATGATATAATTCACTGTATTTTCTTTGAAGAAAAATGCTGACCAGTTCTAAGCTCAATAAATTATTTCAGTACTGTTGGAGCTAACTCTATAAAGCACAGTTCTCGGTCTTCGCAAAAGGTATTTCCTCAAAAAAACAATCAGAGTCCCCACTGACAATCAGCATTCACTCCATTCTCCCTCTCATTTTCTTCCACTGCCTTTTACCACCCATTGCTTCAGCCCTACTTGCCTTCTAGCCTCCTCACCTTTGCTCTTGTTGTTCCAGAATCTAACATGCCTGTTCCAACATTACTCTAGCATTTGGCATTTTACACAACTCAGTTCAGAAGACATCCGCTCCACTTAAAATTAGTCCTTTCTTTTTTTTTCTTTCCTTCAACACATTCCTTGCACTTCTAACATTTATTCTGTCTTATATTAAAATTCATTGTTTATACATTTTGCTTGCATGTTGCAAATCTTTGAGGGACAGGGCTGTCATGTTTCAATTCCACCCACTTGAATGCCTAAGCCCTCAAGAAGGTTCTTTATAATGCCAATGGGTTAAGACTTCAGGGAGGATATCTTTTGCCAACTCTCTACAGAAACTCAAATAGGAAAAGGGAAGCATGAGCCTTGGGTTTTTCAGGTTAAGAAATCATCAAGCAGGCGAGTGCTACTCACATGTAAATGGTGTCGGGTTCCAGGCATCTTACGATGAGGGAGATGGTGGTGAGCTGTTTGTCTGGCACCTGAGATGGCATGGCACAAGGGGACTTAGCTCCAGAGATGATGTCATCCACAAAGCTCAGTACCGTTTCTGCCCAGAGGAGAAGGAGTGGGAAAGGGGTGAGAAAGAGTGCCAGCCAAGCAAGAACTCCATGAGAATGCATTCCAACTGCTTGGTTGCCAGTCTTTTAAAATTCCTACTAAAGCAAGGATACCTGGAAGGAATGGTGTTTTCTTGCTGTTTCATATTTAACCAATCAATTTAAAGCCATTCTCTAGTGTTAGTTCAGAAACAACTAAGGCAAGATACACATACCACGTCTGTGAACTCTTTCATGAAATGCTCCTGGTATGGACGGAGAACAACTATTGTGGTCCAGTCGCTGCCATACTTAGCATACTTAGCACTGCCATACTTCACAGTCACTGCATACTGGGCTCTTCCCCGTGTCTTTGCACACTGGGAAGAGGCTCAAAAGAAGTAGTAGACATCTTTCAGGCCCAATGACAGCTGCATGTGTCTCTGCGCCCCAGAGGCTATTTACCCTGAAGTAGACTGCAGACATCACCGTCCTGCCGGGATCACATCTTCCATGTAAGTTTTAGACATGATTTATGTTGACTTTTCCCTGCATGTAGACTATAAAATAATAAACCATGGAATACTTTTCACGGTGTGTTTCTGCTCCTTTAAAACTTCCCTTTCCTAGCTGGACCTGACAAAAGCTGTTTGCTTTAGGACAAGACATGGAGCAAGCGCATCTGTTTGCACATGCTTTTGCTTAGAGGGGGTTATTAGCAAAGGCATTTTTTTTTTCTGTATTCATGGCAGTGGTTAGCAGAGAATTGTTTCCTAATTGTGGGCTAGGGTAACTAGTGTAATGTACTGTTGTTGCTTTGTGAGTGTGCCTAGAGGCAGTGACATGGACACCTCTTTTCTAAACAAAAAGAAAAGCAAAAATCAAAACAAGGTTTTGTCAGAGGCTCACCATGCAAAAACTCTTAGACACATAAGATGGCTGCTGCTTGGAAGAGACAGCAGCTGCTTCCTCCCCTGCTCCTTCCTTCTTGCTGTGGGATCCTGGAGGCCTGGGGCAAAGCACCCAGGCAGGGAATTTTTCTTTTCTTTTCTTTCTGCTACTATGGATCAAGAAGAGCCCAGGAAGTGGGTCACACTCACCTGTCTCCACTTTGGAGTGGTCCATCCTGTCGGTGACCTTCTCTTGACGGATGAGGTAATCTACAATCTGTACCCCAATTGGCGGCTCTGAGTGCTCCCACTCCAGGACCACAAGGGTGCTGCTGGGCTCATGAACCGTGGAGAGTCTCAGCCTGAGTCCAGAAAGGAAGAGATATGAAATGAGGACCTGGAGATCTCATTGGTCACCTGCCATCTTCCCCACTGTTACATTGCAAACGCTTCTAAACAAACTACTAAGATAATCTTTCCACGGGCCTGTTTGTTCAGTAGGTAGTAACTGGTGAGTTCTAGGTTTTAGATACATAAGTGCCTGTTATACATTATTTGTAAGTAAACAAATATTTATATAAGTAAAGATGAATGAATGTTTGCATGTTACATGGTCAGGTGATAAGGTTTTGAAGATACACTTTATATAGCTTGAAGATATTATCATTTTTGGATTTTCTCTTAAGAAATATCAAGAGAATGTGTGGACAATGCCCATATGAAGACCCACTGAAGTGGTGTTCAAGAGAACCTTGCATTAGTAAGGCCACAGTAAGCTTAGGTTCCAGAGAAAGCATTACTGGGATCTGCCCTGCACATCACCACTTTCCCTCTTGCTGTGGAAACTAACACAGCTTCCTGCCCATGCCTTCTGAGGGCTGGGCCTTGGAACAGGCTTGCTTTGGAAGTAAGGTCTGCTGGGGGCTTCACTGGGCAGCAGAAAGTTGGCCACAGGTCATGTTCTCCTTGAAGTGATGTCTTGTGCCTGTTTTCCCAGGTTCTAATTTCAATTTCTGTCTTTTCTCTTGGGTTTCTATGAATATCCTGGTTCCTGATTCCAGTCTCTGCTTGTTCTTCCCAATTCATAATCTCTTCATTCTTGACAAGCTGTCCATCTTGACTACAGTCTCGCCTTGCTGTCTCATACCTCTCTGCCTCGTACAGACTCGGTAATTATTGTTGACATTCACTGGAGTTCATCTCCCAATTGTCCAAGTGGTTTCAATTCATTGCTGTGTTCTGACTTCTTGTGTGTGGCTCAGGTTTCCCCCTTGCTTCCAATTCCCTGTTTCTTCCTGGACCACTGGATTGGGAAGTTCCTGGAACTGGATTCCCAGTTCCTGATCCCCAGCCTCCCTCCCTTACAAGTATTTCTTGGCTCCTGCATCTCACAACCATGCACCATCCTGGGTCCGCCCCTCTCCACTGAGCTCACAGGTGCCTCTCGCTGGTATCCAGGATCCCTGGGCAAGACACTATGGAAGGATTGCCTCAGACCATCTGCAATGTTTAATTTTAATTCAACAAATGTTTATGAAGTGCCTAGTACTTGTAAGGATTACTGGATGGTAAGAATGCTGTGGTGCACAGCCCACCCCAGTCCCAGAACCACACCAATTATACTTGTTTTTTTGTTTTTGTGTTTTGTTTTGTGGTACCAGGGATTGAACTCAGGATCTTGTGCTTACTAGGCAGGCGAGGTAGCACTGAGCTAAATCCCTGGCCCTCAACCATTATACTTATGATAAGAACTTCAACAAGAAATCATTCAGTGCCATGGAAGAAATAATAAGGCATTCAGCTAGTAGGGAAATAATAAAAAGCACATGTTCTTCTGTTCGTGGCTACTACTACGAAGAAGTGCATAGTTTTCATATGACATTAAGATGGAATAGATCCAAAACAGTGCGGATATTGACAAATTCATTAATTAGAGTCATATGCAGAATGCTATTTTGAAGAAAAAGCATTAGGAAGCTTAAGTAAGTAACTAAGCCTTCTGAGAACTCAAATTCTGTGAAAATAAGGACCAAGACCAGACCCTACTGAGAAATAAAAGTGTGTGTGTGATTTACATGGACTTGTGTAAAATTAGATTGTATTTCTATTTCCAACTACCAATTAAAATGCAAGAATCTAAGTTCTGTTACTGAAAGAAGTAATCAGAATTGCCCCCCTGCAAAAAAAAGTGAAGTCCTTAATAGACAATTCCTGTTTAGGACACCTTAGCCTCAGTTTTTCTTCAGCTATGACATTTAATAAATACAGGGTAGACATGCAATCAGCCTTGGGACAAAGAGGCTGAACTTTGTGTCCATCTAATAGCTGTTCAGTGGTTGCGGTGTTACCTTTCAAAGGTAACTTTCTGACCCGCTGAATCACCAGGTTCTTCTAGTTGGCTCCCTTTCTACCAAGTTAAAGGACTTTTGCTTTGGGCTTTCTTTGCTTACCAGCCCATGGGCTCATGCTCTACCAGTCTGTCCTGCCAGTACGCTTCTGTGGACACACTATACCCGTGGCTTAATTCCCAGGTAGGTACTACGTTAGAAGCCAAGCTGAGTTTCTGCCTTGGGCCCTGGGCCCTCAGCTTGACAAGTTCTGTTTAGCTTTCCTTTGAGGAGGAGAAAACTGGATGTGCTCATTTCCTAGGCACCTCTGCAGTACTTCATCCTCTTCATGCCTCAAATGCATACATGCCCTAGTGCTCACCCTAGCCCTCTGAGCTGCACCTCTTGTTCTTGTTCTTGGGCATCCTCTCTCATAGCTACATTTCTGTCATCTCCCATTTATTCAGAATTGACTGAAATCATCTTACTCTAGTGTTTACTTTTTCACAAAATGCCATCTTTCTCTCTGCCCACTGATCAACTGCAGAGTTATGCAACATAACTCCCAGGTAAGTCCCCGTGGAACTGGTCTCCCTTCATGTCTGCATGACTTTTGTGCTTCCTTCCTCAATTCCTCTTCCCAGGCACCCAGGTAATAAGTCTGAAGTCCGTTCTCAGCTTCTAGTTGCTTATCATCCCCATGGTCAATCAGCCCCAGAACTTGTTGATTCTACCCCAAACCATGCTCAGTTTTACACTTTCCATATTATAATGGCTGAGAACTTATCTCACAACCCCAGCCCTGCTTCCTGCTCTGTCACCTTGGAAAAATTATTCAATCCATTTGCACCCGTTCCGTGTCTATTGACTGGATGGGGGATAACAGTACCGAACTATTCCACACAGTGCCTGCTACCCAGTAAGTGTCCAGTAGGTGGCAGTACTGTTGGTGCAGTTAATACTTCACTATAGTTCTCCAACTTCATCACCATGGCAATGTTACCAGTTATCCTCCAGCTCCGATGTCTTGCTTTTTGCACCTTCAAGGAGAAGTGCATGTGCCATCTTCTTCATGAAGCCTTCACCACTGCCCACATTCAGACCCAAACAATCCCTCTTCTCACTTTTCATAAACATTTATAACACCTGTCACACTATTTCTTTTCTACAATTTGTGTCCTGCCTCCCCTAGTAGATAGAAAGGTCCCTGAAAGCAGGCACTGTGCCATGTTCTGATTTCTGATCCCGAATCCTCAGTTTATTGCTTGGCAAACAGTAGACCTTACTTTTTGGGAGGCGGGGGGGGGGCGCGGGGTGATGCTGCTGAGGCAGACATGCAAAAGAGAGGCAGAGAAAGGGAGCCGTACACAGGCTGTGGCAGAGGTGCACAGGTGGGGAGTCCATCAGCTCCAAAAGCGGTGGAGTCGCATCGACACCAGTCCTCAATGACATCTCCAGTCCCTGAGCACCAGAGGGAGCTCATGGTGGCCTCCTGCAAGAGCTGCATGACAGAGCAAAGAGTGAGTGAGTGTGTGGAAGCCAAGGCCGGGTCATCAGAAACAATGACTGACCAGGTTCTGCATGGCCCTCCATTACTTCCGGAGAGAAGGTTGCATCAATGGGTCACTACTTTTTGGTCTAAAAGTGTTACCCCAGGAGATGGTTTCTGGGGTTCCTAAGCCCTGTACAACTTCTGGGCTGTCCCTTTTCTTCCAGCATAATAGTTCATGGTTATCACCTTGGAAACAGCCATATTCCATTGTCTCTCTCCCTCAAACTGCCCTCTGTCACACCACATCCTTGGAAACAAGAATGGGAGGGAGGGAGGAGGACAAAGGAAATAGGTCATTCTACAAAATTCCAAATATCTGAACCCAAAGCCAGCATCCTATGTTCTATACATTCAGAGCTTAGCATGACCAGTGATAGCAAATCTTTTAGAGACCCAGACCAAACTGCAACTCAAAACCCACTTACTTATCACAAAGTTCTAACACTGCAATTAAACCTGAATACCGAGGTTTTAGTTTAGAAAACAAGAACTCTACCTTAATATCTTTTGTCTTGAACAATACAGTAACATATATGCCATAGATCTGCCACCACTGGCATAGACCATCTTAGGTGAGGATTGTTGAAATAAATGTCCATACCCACTCTCCTCCCCAGACTGAAAGCCTGTAGGAAGCAAGATCTAATTCCTGAGTATATAATTTGTATAGAGCTTTATAATCTATAATTCCCTTTCAGATGCTAACACTGATATAGTGCTATAATGATTTTCCAGTGAAGCACTCCAAGATTTAAAGAAGTCAGGTAACTTTCTCAGGATGACAAATACTGGACAGGGAGTTCCAGGACCTAAATTCAACATATCTCACCTGTCATTTCAGGCTCTTTCCTGTGTACTCAATTAAGGTGTCCACCAGTGAGGTGTTCACTAGGTGCCTCATCTGAATAAATCAAATTCAAATTAAGAGGAGCACTAGGAAAACAAACGTTCTTCGAGCGAGGTAGAATAAAAACAGAAATAATGACCACTGCCTGGTAGAGTCTTTAATCAACAGTTATTTGCTAGGAACCTAACAAGGGACCCTTTCTTGTGCTTGGCATTACAGTGGCACACAAAACACTGAGGGGCCTTGTCTGCATTAATCTCACATCAGATAAAAAATCACACCTGGGGCAAAGACTCTTAAGGAAAGGGTCAGGTGCTACTAATGCACATGGCGGCCAGAGGAAAAGGAAAAGGCTGGATAATCTCACTGAGGGATTTGGAAAGGCCTGCATGAAGAGGTGCTATCTTGATCTGAGCTCTGAGGGATAGGTCAAAAGTTATCTGGTCACAAAAGTTGAGGTAGTGTTACAGGTAGACAAAAACAATATTAAAAAAAACCCGCCTGGATATAAGTTGATTTTTAAAATCCACTGAAACAGATGAGTCTGTCTGTAAAGAAAAGGAGAGAGAGGGCCAGGGATTTAGCTCAGTGGTTCTGCTGCCTGCCTTGCAAGCACAAGGACCCGAGTTCGATCCCCAATACCAAAAAAAAAAAAAACATACAGGTGATATGCTAGGAAATGAGAGAAGCACTTAAAATGTTTGCAAAAATTAGAAAAAAAAAAAAAAAAAGAAAGAAAAAGAAAAGGAGAGAGTGATGGGGGGGGTGTAAAGAGATGCTTCACAAATGGGAGGAATGTAGTGTGAGATTAGAACAGGCATCTCGGGCCAGTGTAAGGGGGAGTAACATTTTAAGAGCAATATAAGCCATTTGAGGGTTTTGAACTTGGGAGCAACAAGATCAGATTTTCAATCCAAAGGAGTATGGAAAAACATATATGATGACAAACATCTTAAATGATGCTTCTTCAAAAGCTTTAGCTTTCTAACTTTCCTTCTCAACACTCCATGACAGCTTGAAATTGCTGAATCCTGAGTTAAAGTTAACTGTGAATGATGGATGAAGAATCAAGAAGAAACCTTTTCAAAAAGGAAGAGAAAGGAAAACTATATTTTTCTTAGTACCTAAAATGTGCCACATGTTGCATAGGGAATCTCCGTTTATCAGATTTAATCCTAAACCCAGAAAGGAAATAGAACTTTCCAGTGTTTTTTATTGTTTTTCTCTAAGGCAAGCAGCTAGACTTTCAACCCAGGTCATGTATCCATTAATTTATCCATTTATTCAACCATCATTCATTTACATACCAGAGCACCAAGTGTGCACCAACCACTGCTAGGCATTCTGTAGAAGAAAAGGCATTTCTCACAGCCTCGAGAGGAGTAAATAACTGCAAACAGCTCTAACAGTAGGCCTGCATGTTTTAACAGGCAAATATATGTGCAGAATGGGAATTACATGCAGAAATATCTGAGTTGGACTAGGAAAATAAGAGAGGACCCTCGATAATGGGTGATGTTTGAGCTGAAACTGGGGGTAACAGTAAGAGTTTGCCTATGGCAGAAATGTTGGCAAGGACGTCCTCACTGGCCCAGACAGTTGGAAGTCTGAAGGCCAGGTGCATGAAGAAAGACAGATCGTACTCGAGAAATGTTATGGTTTAGATCTGAAATTTGCCCTGAGAGCCTCACGTGTTCAGAGATGGGGCTTTGGAGGGTGACTGGATCATGGGAGTACTGTACTCATCAGTGGGTCAACCCAAACTTGAGTTCACAGCTGAATTATGGAGGTAAGGCCTGGCTGGAAGAGGCAGGTCTGGGGGCATGACTTGGAAGGGTGTATTCTTTTTTTAGTTTTTTAGACAAGGTCTTGCTATGTAGTTCAGACTGGCCTGGAACTCACTATGTAGCTCAGACTGGCCTTGAAATCACAGCAATCCTCCTGCCTCAGCCTCCCAAGTGCTGTGATTACAGGCATGCACCAAGCCCGAATGGAAGGGTGTATTCTTGTGCCTGACTCCTCCTTTCTCTTTCTGCTTCCTGGCTGCCATGTGGTGAGCAGCATTGTTTGCCATGCATCTGTCACACCAATTCTGCCTTGGAGCCAGCCAGCCATGCACTGAACCCACCAAACCATGAGCCAAAATAAACTTGTCCCCCTTTGAGTTGTTGGGGTAGGGTATCGGTCCCAGTGACTGGAAAACAGAGTATAAGGTAGAGAGCAGTAAATAACAACCTAACCATGTAAGTGAAGGCCAACTGGATCATGAACTGCCTTGTAATGATGTGCTCTGAACTCTAGATGTATTCCAGCTGTACGGCCACTAAATTACTTTGATGTAATATGGTCAGGGGTCCATATTAGATAATAGCTGTGGGTAGTCTAATGGGCAGATCAGCAAGAGGGCTACTATAATAAGATGCAAGCCTGATATCACAGTGGGTGATTAGGATGTCATGAGTCTCATAGAAAGAGGATGGATCAACTGATATTTGTCATTCTTGGTGATGGAATAGATGTTGGGAATGACAAGGAAATTCTAGGAAGCATCCCTAGTCTCTAGTGTGGGCAAATTAATGGAAGGTAGTGCCAATCACTGAAATGGAGGCACAAAAGTCATGAATTTCGGGTAGGAAAAGGGGAGCTTCTGTTGGTTGGGTTGGTGAAATGGTTTTGGCTACGTGTTTATCACCATTACAGATTAAGAACAAGAGAGGTTAGAAAATGATCCCAAAGAGACCTGCCTCTCGGGAAGGCAGAAATAACAATACACGCTGAGGTGCTAATGCCACGCCTTAGCACCCATCCACCTCCCCTTCACTGCAAAGCTCAAAATCAGAAGGAAAAACTGGGGAACACAGGGTGGTAGAAATAGACTGTCTTAGGGAAAAAGGTAAGAAAAAAAGCACACGATGGGGACTGTGCTACAACCAGGACCCCCTTGCCTATGTCCAAAGCCATCTGCCCTCCCTCTGATGGTTGGTGCAGAGAGGAAGGGGGCAGCTGGCCTGGGCAAGTAAGGGACACAGCAAAGGGGCTGCTGCTGCTTAGCTCTGTGCACTGATTCACTTTGCTGCGGGAAGCGAGTCCTCCACTCTCGCCAAGTCCTTGTCTATTCTGCAGCCTCTTGCCATTGCTGTGGTGAGCTCTCCGCCACTGTCCCTGACAGGTGGCATGGGAATCTTGTGTTATCAGCTGCAGCAGCCTTGAGGAAGACAAAGTGGGGTGGGCAAGGGGGGTGCTGGCGCGGGATTAAACCTCGGCAGCGTAGGGTCTCTAGGTGGCCAAGCCCCTCCACTTCCTTCCTTTCAAGCCTCCCTGCAGTAGTCTCTGTTCTTCCTCTCCTCTTCCCACAGGTGCCCTATCAGATTCAAGAGGAATGTGTAGGCCACAGGAACAATTTGTCTTTTCATTCCTGTGCAAAAACATAGTTTCAAACACTCAGGGAAATCTCCATGGTAGAGGTGGGTAGGCAACAGAAACACACATGCCAAATCCCTCCTGTTGGTCTGAGCAACACCTAGGAAACAAACTGTCACACACCAGGTGTCCCTTCAAAGAGAAAAAGGAAAGCAATTATCAGCACACCTGGATGGGCACACCTCTCAGGTAAGCAGCCTCTGCTGCAACTCCTGTTCTGTCTTCTTGCCGTGCCTACACCTCAGAGGTCCCCCACGAGGCGCTGCCTCGTGCTGGTGCTGCTGTCGCCTGTGTGCTGACTCACTCTGACATCTGAATGTCCGAGAGGCGGCCGGAGGGCAAGGTCACCGCCTCTGCCCCCTCCCCCAAGCTTATCCTTTGGGGTCCATTAATTTTGTTCCTGACATCTTTGGAAAGGGAAAGTCAGAGGCAGAGGCAAAATGAAGAATGGTTGGGAAATGTCATGACCTAGCAGCATAATAAAAGGCAGAAGGGTCCATGTGGTTGTGGCATTTTGTTCTCAGACTCAGTGATGGGAAGGAAACCAACCCCTCGGGCTGAGGCTGCAGACCCTTCCTCTGGGATTTGCACTTGATGGGCTCCTTCTCCTCCCTCTGCTGGCTTGGGGATCATCAGGGAACTGGCCCACCTCCCATGCCAACAAGGTGAGACAGCTGAGCCTCAAGGGCTCTCCAACAATGATTTGGGTGATCAAAAACCTGTCCTCTTATGTATCAACTTCCTTCCAGCCTTCTTTTGCTCAGACTCCACAAGTGCTCAGTTATGGCTCCCGAATTATATTACTGTGGGTGTTGTGGATGCACTGATTTGACTTAATATGCAAACATGCAAATCTAAGCAAATTAAATCTCTGGGTTAGCTAAACAAAACGTCTCCCTATCCAAATTCTAGCATGGAGCTTAGCGGCATCCTGTCACTTCCTCAGGCCACTTGGAAAGCCCTGTGTGGCTGATGCCTCCGGGGGACCAAGAGCCCTAGTCCTCTTACCCTCTGGGTCTGATTGTTAGTCACCAGTTCATAGATGGGGGCTGCTCTGGTCACCTCCAGCAGGACTGGCTCAGCGGGAGTGTCGGGGCTGGATGTCACATGACACAAGGGGCAGGAGGCGGGGCATCGCCCCTTGCTTTGGCACTCCATGCGGACTCCAGCTGCCATGCGCTTGGTACCAGAGTCTGACAGGCTTGCAATGTATTCTGGGAATGTCAGCACCTTGGGGTCTCTCTCCCGCTCCTCTGACTCATCCGATGGGGAGTTGCCTGCCAGACACAAGATAAAAAGCAGTAGTGAGAAAACCAAGACACCAAGGATTGTTATGAGCTCGTGGCCCATGAGTGCTGGGGTCTGACCAATTCTTCATATATAAATTAGGAGATATTCATTGGGACTCCCACTACCGTGGTGAAATAAATGAATGGACAGTGTTTATAGCGCAGACAGCACAGTAGCTGACATCTATCAACCCTCGCCATAAAGTTTTGATCGTAGAGTTAGCTAAGATTTATGGAGCCAGTACCATGAATGTGAGATGGGTTCAAGATCTCCTTTAACCATGACGTACATGGAGTTCTATCATTGTTCCCATTTTATGGATGAGTAAAGTGAGGTCAGCAGCCTCAAGGTCACACAGCTAGTATATTGTGAGAGTTGACATTTGAATCAACTTTTTTTCTGACTCCAAAGTCTTTAGGTCATGAAGCAAGATCACAAATTGTCAGCTTCATGCTCCATTTATTGGAGATGGGTGGCAATTTTTACTTTTTCAAAAAGACTTGCACTCTTGTTTGATGAGTAAAAGGTACTTAGAGGAACGCTTAATGTATTTTAGGTGATAAACATAGGAACTGCCTACCAGAGGATAATGGTTTTTCCCCACAGGAGAAAGCACTTCTTGGTATTTCTCTTCCCAGCCATTCCCCATTTAACTTGTTAACTCTAAAGGAGTCTGCTGACCAAAAGCACTGACTTCCTTGAGAGTTAGAGCTCCTTTGGCACAGTAGCTGTGGCAAATGGGAGAAAACCTCAGAGAAGCACTGGAAAACACTTGGCAAATACAGAACATTCGTTCTGGTCTCCTCGGCCTCACCAACAATGCAATACTCGACAGGCCAGATCTCTGGGTGAACTGGCTGGAAGGATGTGCTAAGTGGTCCCAGGAAGGGACCGTGAGATGCGACTCATCAACTTTTTCAAAGAGTCCTCTCCTACAGGGCCCAGGGACCTCCTGCCACCCTCCTCTTGTTTGCTGTGGAAAAGGAGCCCATTTGGAAACATCAGGAGGCATGTCACACGCTGCTTCCCCAGTCTGTGTCATTATGGGAGCGAGGCATTTTTACCCAGCAGCTCTCCTGACATGGGCGGCTCTTCCTGCATGCAAAGGCAAAAGATAGACTCAGTGACTCAGAATGCAGGAAATGATTGATTCAATATTTTCATTTGGTTTAATAGCAGAGCCAGAGTCGAGCTTAAGTCTTTCCTGGATTATAAGTGTGTAAAGGTGGACACCCAAATCCAGAATGGTGACTCGGAAAGGAAGCCCAGGACACAACAACTAGCCACAAAGTCACTTCACCCCAGGACATCCTTATCAACCCTGGGGCTCTTGCCCCCACACTGCCACGGCTGGGAGTATTAGTGAAGAGGCCACCTTTGGGCTGGGGACTCTCCTGATCAGCCCAGTTTCTGGTCAGGCCTGCTGGCTTCTTGAGTCACCAAATGGACCAGGCAGGAATCACTTGAGGTAGATTCAGGTCATTGGACCCTTGGTTGAATTCCTGGGCACATAAGCCTTATTCCCTGAGAAAGTAAATGAATATTTTCAAAACAAACAAGTAAAGATGCAATATTTCTTTTAAAAATACGATTTTTGAAATTTTGCCATGGAATCTTGCTAAAGGGCTGGAAGGGTTTGTTGGTTGGCTCATAGGCACCTTACAATCAGGCATTTTATTAACAACCCACCGCCCGCCTTTGGAAACAATTTGCTCAACAGAGGCTGTGAAAAGCACTTCAGAAAATGACCACTAGATGGTGGTATCGAATCTAAAATGACTCGGAGAACTACATTTAGAGAGCGCTTGGGCATCAGGGAAAATAAACTCCTGGGAAAAAGTAACACGTAGTTATTTTACCAATTTTTGTGGGTGTACGAAATTTTTTCAATTGGATAATAAAAATTTAAGAAGTAAAACAATTACATACTACTTATCCTAAGGAGAAAAATACAATGAGAAGCAGAAGATAATGACGGGATAATTACGGAAAAATAGAACTCACAAGAGGAAATAAAAATCCACACACACCCCCACAATATCCTTAACATAGAGTAAAAGTTACTTCAATGGGAAAATAATATGCCACCAAATTCCTTTTTTCTGCTTTAGTAAAATCTCCCAGGACCTCTCACATCCTAACAGCACGGTTGTGACAGTCACGTGTGCCACTAGGGGGCACTGTGAGCGCACCGGGTTGGCGGTCGGGTTGACAGTCGCTGTCCTCAACTCTGTAGTCCTTAAGGCTTGGAACTGCTCTAAACGCGAGGGGCTGCTCCCCTTGCTGCTGCCTTCCGGGTACACCGGTTAAAATCAAGATGCAGGCAGCCCCTCTAAATACACCTCGGATACTTAGCAAGATTGGGGAGGAGTCAGGAGTGGGAAGGAGGTGCAGGAAAGATGATGGGAAGCCATCAAATTCTCCTTTTAATTCAGAACCCTACTTTCCATCTCCTAAGAACATACAGGACCAGATACAAGGACCCTGGTAGAGGCCAAGGCCGAGTGCCCTCAGCTCCCCTGGCACACTGGATGCAGCTGTCCAGACAGGAGCTGGATTTGTGTCAAATCCACGAACAGTGTGAGCTCCCAAAGCCATCTATCCAGGTTCCAGCAAAGAATGGAGATGTGTGTGTGAGAGAGCTTTTTCAAAGAGAAAATGCATCGTCTATGTGCGGTTAAGGTACAATTGGGAAATACTCCTTAAAATGATGGAGTCCAGCGGTGAAAGCCCAGATAAATCTCCTTTAGCCGAAAGAGAGCACCTATAACCATCACGTTCCTAGCAAGTGACTGAGTGGCTTGGTCTTAAAGCTTCAAAAGAGTCTGGTGTTGGACACTTGATTTTACGCCCCTCCTCCGCCACCGTGTTGTGTTGGAGGGGGTGGACGGGAAGGTTGGTGGGTAGAGTTACAGAGAGGAAAGGTCACCTTGTTTTCTTATGCTTCAAGGGCTCTCCCCTCCCACTGCCCCTACTGCCACTGTACATATTTTCATTTTGTTTAATAACAGAGCCAGAGTTGAGCTTAAGTCTTTCCTGGATTATAAGTGTGTAAAGGCAGACACCCAAATCCAGAATGGTGACTTGGAAAGGAAGCCCAGGACACAACAACTAGCCACAAAGTCGTTTCACCCATGGGACATCCTAATCAACCCTGGGGCTCATGCCCCTGACACCCGATGGCATGAGTAGAGATGCTGTAGGAATGTGAGACACTATGCTGTCTCTTAAAAAGGAATATCCTATTTCAATAAGCACACAGCCTCCGGATATAAGAAATAAACTAAAATTAAGGGCTCAAAAGATTGTAATTATCAAAGATGTTCTCTGACAAAGAAGAGCCAAGTGTGGCCTCTTCCCAACCCTACTTGTAGAATTCATCCCCATTGCTCTCGGGGAGGCTCCAGAGTCCAGCTGTGACAATTCGTTTTCTACAAGTAGAGCAATATCCAACCTGGAATGTAGTTAACAACCCTAAAACTGCAAAGCATTTTGCAAATACAGTTTGCTATAAATAAATGCCATTTGCTTTAGGCTAAATCTGTATCCTACAGCACATAGTGGATGAGTTTCCCCAATGGAATATCATGGTATGAGCATATTGACATCCTTAATGCGCAGACTCTCACTGTGTACTTGCCCATGGCCTTAGGCGTGTATATATTGACCCACCTCAATTCAGGGGCACATGAAGATGGTAAAAGTGACCAACGCATTCCCACGCAAGGTCTGCTGTGCTGGTGGGAACTGGCGGGTCAGGAAGGTAAATCAGCTGTTATGCAGTAAATTGGTACAATTCCTGTAGGATTCTGGGGCTGCTTAAGACACTCTCTCCTGAGTTGGTGCCTGAGGCAACGAGATGCTAAGGACATCACAGCTAGAACTACAGAGCCAGTTCATTAGGCAGCAAAGAAATCAAATGCAAACTAATCAGATCGCAGCTTTTAGCGGGGCTTAGGATGCACAGGACAGGACCTGACGCGGGCAGGTGAAGCCCTGCCACAGCGAGGTGGCCCCAGCCCTCAGCCTTCACCCAGGCTAATCCTCAGCCAGATGTCGGAGTTATCCAAGTTCACATCTCCTTCCCCCTGCTGGGCTCTAATCAGTCTCTCGGGATGTTTAACTGTCTTTGGACAGAAAGGTTGAGGTCACTTTGACATAGAGCTGAACTCGTGGGCCTGCCATGGTGACACAATCTCTGAGATCTAAAGAAAATGCAACATGATGGATTAGTAATTAGGGAAAAGAAGACAGAGAATAAATTCACAACTTCTCTCTCCTCCTCAATATGAGATAAGTAAGTGCCTTGGGGTCAGGAAATCTCTCTTTTTTTTAATCACTGAAACTCCTTTGCCTAGTTTAAATCTATCTATCATCTAACTATCTTTCTATCTACGTATCATCTCTGTATATACACAGATATAGAGGAGTGATATAAATGATGACCATATATTTAAATTTTTACAAAACGCCAAACATAAAAAATAAAACTGGTGGCACATGTCTGTCATCTCAGATCTCTGGGAAACTGAGGCAGGAGGATTACAAGTTTGACTCCAGTCTTGGTAACCTAGTGACTTAGCAAGACCCTCTCTCAGAACAAAAAAAAGCATTATCAAGGGCTGAGGGTGTATTTCAGGGTGAAGGCCCTGGATTCAATCCCCAGTACCACAATAAATAATAAATAACCAGAGCCAGGGATTTAGCTCAGTGGTGCTGCCACCTGCCTCGAAAGCGCAAGGTCCGGAGTTCGATCCCTGGTACCAAAAATAAATAAAACAAAATAAAATAAAAATTTTTTAATAAATAAATAACCAAAGCACTTGTAAATGCTTCTCTGGTCCCTTACTAAAGCTTCAGTCAAGTGGAAAGAATGAAGTATTATTTATTGTGGTGACGGCTGACTGTGTATCTCTAGCCAGGGCCTCGCCCACAAGTGACAGAACCATCTTTGTGGTCCTGGACTGAGTCTGAATGCGCATGCTTG